TATATATATATATATAATATCCAAAAATATTTGGATGCTTAAGTCACCCTTAAAAATGCATGAATGTCATTACATTTGATAATAAAATATCAAACCAAGTTGCATTTATCTTTAAAGAAAGCACAGCACAAGCAGACGTTCAGCAAATCATCAAAAGAAGTCTGTTAGGTTTAAACGTATGATAAATAATTAAATGATTTAGTGTTAAAAATGAAAGAAAAAGGTAACACTTTACAATTAGGTCCAATTAACTAAAAATGTGCAATACATTTGTTGCAGTATTTATTAACTTTTTTAACATGAATTAATAAAAAATACTGTTTATTTATGTTTATGGAAGCTTGTTTCCAGCATGGGATAAAAAATAAAAAAGATAATTACCACTGCTTATCTCACAATTCAGACTTTTTCTCTCAAGTCTGAAGAAAAAAAAAAAAGAATTGTGAGATTTAAAGTCAGAACATTAAAGACATAAACTCCCAATTCTGAGAAAAAAGTCAGAATTGATAAAAAGTTGCAGTTGCTTTTCTCATTTTTCATTGACAACTGCAAGATATTAAACTGTGAGGAAAAAAGTCTGAATTTTGAGTTTACATCTTTCAAATAAAATGTTTTTTTTTTCAGAAACTTTTTTCAGAATTGTGAGCTAAAAAGTCACAGTTATTTTTTTGATTTTATTCTGTGGTGGAGGGGGAAAATTGCAAAATGTAAAGAATTCTGAGAAAAAGGAATTACAAGATTTGATAATTTATTTAGAACTGCAAGAAAAATTGTGATTAAAAGAAGAAGAAAAAACACAAATTATCTGATTTTTTTTTATCCCATAGCTGAAACAGGCTTGTATACCTCAGGTTTAAATACAAACAGAACTTTTGATTTTACTAATGCTTTAAAAGTATTTTTTATTGTTAGTTCATGTTAACTAATGTAGTATCTCGTTGTAAAGTGTTACCAAAAGATTCAATGTGGCATTGTGGATGAGATTAAAGGTCATTAAGCAAAACCGATGCAGAAAAGTGAAGCTCCAGCATCATTTTCTTGCAGTCGCAGCTTGGTTTGTTATATTTGTTTCCTTATGCAATGACATTCAGATATTTATAAGTGTCCAAATATATTTTAGTCCCACTGTATACTGTATGTGTATTTGTCAGATCAAACTGGAAGGCACTTAATTTGCTCAGGTCTCTCCCTACAGAAGGCGGTCCTCACTGTTTGACAGGCGGAGTGAAGGACCAATCACAGTGCTTAGAGCTTATCACGCCTCTCAGAGCTGCCTATAGACTCCTTTCAACTGAACCACATCTCCCATGAGCCTTAGCTTCAGCCGCACGCTGCAGAAAATGTCCAACTTCAAGACACCAGGTAAGAATATTCCCAAATCTGACTTGTCAGCATTTGACCTTTCACCTCATGGATAAACCGCGCCTCAATGAAGAGCTTATTTCCACTGCAAATACGCCATTTAATGCCACACTAGGCGATGACTCCAGCTGCTTTAGCGTCCTGTTAGTAGCTTCCTGTCTGGAATCGTCCGATCGGAGGCGGCGCTCTAGTAGTAGCGATTCAAGCTGCGGGTTCCTGGGACGTCCGGCTGTCCGTTCATCCAGATTTCCCGTATGATGCGCTCTCTCTCCTCCAGTCGCTGCGCTCGCTCCAGCTCCTCCGCCGACGTGAAGACGTTTGTGTTGAGCGTGCGCTCGAAGCGCCGGTGCCGTCGGGCCGAGAGGTCCGAGCTCGAGTCCCAGTCTGAATCAGAGTCGCTGGTGTTGCTGTCGGAGTCCGCGGGTCTCGGACGCTTCTTAGCGACGCCGTGGCGAGGTTTACAGTCCGTACGGCAGGATATCTGAACCACCAGCGTGAAGAGCGTGAGGAACAGACCGGCACAGACGCCGCACATGAAATACAGCGCACAGCGCTCCGGGTGCTCTGGGATGGAGACACAAAACAGACAACATGAAATCAAAGTGAACCATTTACTCTCTTAAAATTTATATTATGTTCCGGGTCAGTTTGAGCCGAATGCATTTTTGGGAAACACTGGTTAACATAGGATGTTTTCCTTGAGTATTTCTCACTCAGGGTCATGAACCTGCCTGCTAAGTTGTGGAATCTGCAGTACATATGTCATTTTAGTACGATGGTGATGTTAGCGGGTAAATTCGACCTGTAAATTTCATGGTTAAAATGGGTGCACAGACTCAAAATAATTTTTTTAATGTATTTTATGATAGTTTTTAAAGATATTTACATTTACATTATTCATTTGGCAGATGCTTTTATTTGAAGAAATGCATTTATAAATTTTCATCAGTTTATGCAGTTTTGCTGCGAATAAAAAAAAAAAGGACATTTAAAACACTATAAAACTATGGAAGCCGTTTCCGCCACTGAATTTAAAAAAAAGGTTATTGCGACTTTTTATCTCACAATTCTGACTTTTTTTCTCAGAATTGCGTGATATAAAGTCAGAATTGCGTGATATAAACTCACAATTGCAAGTTATAAAGTCAGAATTGCGAGATATAGTCACAATTGAGAGATAAACACTTTTTTTTCTCAGAATTGCGTGATATAAACTCACAATTGCAAGTTATAAAGTCAGAATTGCGAGATATAAAGTCACAATTGTGAGATAAAAACTCTTTTTTTTCTCAGAATTGCAAGTTTATATCTCGCAATTCTGACTTTATTTCTCAGAATTGCGACTATGTCTCGCAATTGCGAAATTATATCACGCAATTCTGAGAATTATTTTTTATTCAGTGGCGGAAACGGGCGTCCATATAAAACACTAATATTCAATAATATAGAATATTTTATAATATTCATATTTTGTGAAAAACAAACAGTTAAATACAGAAAAACATACTTTTTTTTTTTTGGAAATATGTGAGAACTATTAATGTTTAAGGTTTACCTTTTTTTTTTTTTAACAATACACTCTTAAAAATAAAGGTGCTTAAAAGGTTCTTCACAGCGATGCTTTTTACTTTAACTTTACTTTTAGTCATTTAGCAGACGCTTTTATCCAAAGCGACTTACAAATAAGAAAAAGTAATTAAAACTAAAAGCTAAAACTCTATAAATACTATATATATACACACATTTAAGAAAATAAAATAAATTAAATAAATAAATTTATAATTTGAAGAACCTTCTTTCGCCACAAAGAACCTTTCGTGAAACAGAAAGGTTCTTCAGATGTTAAAGGTTCTTTATGGAACCATTTAGACAAAAAGGTTCTTCTATGGCATCGTGAAGCATCTTTATTTTTAAGAGTGTAGTGTGATTTTTGGTAGATTGTACTGACTCCACTTAGGGCCAACTTGACATTAGGTAACTGAAGCTATTCCAGGCACTGTTTTAGCAAACTTTTGTTCAGGTCTGGCTCCATTTTTTTGTATGAACCGCCCACTTTTTATGATTAAATTAATTCCTGATGGATAAAGTCCAACCATAGTTGAACTTTCTATTCATCAAAGAATCCTGAAAAATAAAATGTATCACTGTTTCCACAAAAATATTCAGCAGCACAACTGTTTTCAATATTGTTAATAATGAGAAATGTTTCTTGAGCCGAAAATCAGTATATCAGAATGATTTCTGAAGGATCATGTGACACTGAAGACTGGAGTAATGGAATAAATTACATTTTACAATATATTCAAAAACAGCTATTTGAAATTGTAATAATTTTTCACAATATTGGTGTTTATTTTGATCAAATAAATGCAGCCTTGGTGAGCAGAAGAGACTCCTTCAATCAAAATACATTACATATAAATCTTTCCAACCCCAAACGTCTGGCCAGTAATCCAGGTCACAGACTCAAAGTCAGATCTGAAGAGCTGTGGGTTGCAGATGTTGTGGTGTTACCTGTGATGTAGGTGTAGGCCGCCAGCATGCTGCTGATGAGGGCCATGGCTGGTCTGATTACAGTGGAGATGGTTGGGTTCGGATCGCTTTCTCCAGACTGATCCGTCTCTTCTGAATACGGAGCAGAACTCCGTCCTCGCGTCGACCTCCCTGCGATCAAATGCACACAATCGTCATGCCCTCGTTTGAACCAACCTTCATCATGAGATCTTTCTAAAACAAAAAGTATATATTTTGCCCCAAGCTTCCATGTCTGGCAATAAACAAAAGAATAAGTTGGATTTACATCAATAATTCATCAACAGGTCCTCATTGTGTGTGTGTGTATGTGGTGTCAAAGGAAAAGTTCACTCAAAAAGGAAAATGCTGTCATCATCATGTTGTGGCAGGACCAATATCATTTTTTTCTACTTTAAAACAAAAGTATACAATAATTGTGAATGGGTATGGTGCTGTTTAACTCCAAAAAGAATAAAAATGCTTGCAATTCATTCACTACACTCTTATATATCTTTAAGTATCAAAGACATCAAATGTCATTGCTTCTTGTGACCGGTCTCATTGACATCGTACCATATTTCAGTGTATATGCATCCATTATATGATTTCATATGGTCCTATAGTTTTTGGAGCTTGACGACTGTAAAATTATCTGCAGATAATTTTAGCTGAAAGTATTGCGGTAACATGTTCCAGGATACTGGTCTTACATAGTCAGAACAATGAGAAAATAGTGATTTCTTTCTTTTGACAGGTTATTTTTTTGTTTGTTTTTTGTTTCTGCATCAAAAATACTAAAATATCTAAAATCTTGTTTTCAATTTAAGTCGATCTAAAAACTAATAAAATACTAATTATAATTTAAATAAAATAAATACTAATTATAATTAAATGTGAAAGTTTTCTTGTACTTTAACTCGTTTTTTTTTTTTTTTTGGCTAGGTACTTGAGACTTTTAATGGAGAATTTTTGACATAGTGTCTGTACAGTCGTGGCCAAAAGTATTGGCAGTGACATAA